GGCGCTGCGGGGAGGTGCGGGACTCCGCGCGGGCGGGACGCGGGCGCTGCTGCTCGCAGGAACCGCCAGGTGGGCGCCGCGCGGGCCGCGGCCGCCGTCGCGCCCCTTCTCGCCTCCCGGTCCGGGCACTGCGCGCATCCCTCCGCGGGACTGCGACTCTCCGCCCGAGGTCGCTCCGCCGCCTCGGGCTCGGCCTCCCGGAGCTCGCGGGGCCTCCGCCCGAGGTCTCTGCGCCCGGCGCGGGGCCTGCGGCTCCCCACCCGGCGCCCGCTGCCTCCTCTGCGCCCTCTCCTCGTCTCTCCGCCCGACGTCTCGGGCTCCGCGGCACGGGCTGCGCCTCCCGTCGCCGTCGCTGCCTCGGGCTTTGTCTCTCCCGGCCTTCGGGCCCTCTGTCCCCGGGCGCCGTCGTTTTCCGTCCCTCTCAGCTCGAGGTCCCGTCTGGGTCTGACTTCGCGGGGCCCCGCCTCGGAGCTCGGGCTCCGATTCGGCCGTTTTCCGTGCGGCTTGACGCCCCGACCACCTGGCTGGGCTCCTCCATCTCTCCAGGTTTCTCTCGTCTCTCGGTGTGTCTCGTCTACCACGGCGTCTCTGGTTCTGCGTCCGCCTCTCCCGGGTTTTCTCTTCCAGCCTCTGTCTCTCAGTGTCTCGGGTCTCTCTCCCTTTCGTTGTCTCTCTGTCTCCCTCCCTGTCTTTCCCGTCTCCCCAGGTCTTCTCCGACTCGGCATCACTGGGTTTTCGTGTCTGTCATTCTGGGGGTCCTCTCTCCGTTGAGCAGCGCCGGTCGGTGTCTCTCGCTCTCGTCTCGGCCCATCTCTCTGTCTCTCCCAGACTGTGTGTCTGTGTCCCTCGTCCCTGTCGGATCCCACAACACTCGGGCCCCGCTGCGCCCCGTTGGTTTATTGGCGTCTCCCGCGCGGCCGAGCCCATTTTCTCAGAATCGGGGTTTTGTTCTCTGATGAACGAATCCGGGTCGAAGCACATCGAATGTGAGGGTCCGCGCTGGGACACGGCGGGGGCGGCGAGGGAGGCGCACCCGAGTGGGGCGGGGAGCGCAAGGCAGGCACAGAGGCCGGGAAGGAGCGGCCAGCGCGGGACGTGCAGGGCGCTCCAATGGGTGGCCTGCCTCGGGCGGCCCAGCCCAGGGCGTTGTCCTGGGGGCCACGGGCAGGGCACGAGGAGGCCGCCGCGAGCGCGCGGCCGCGGTGCTGCAGGACCCTCGGAGCCCAGGTCTGCGGTGCTGGCCGTCGCCGTCCCACCTGCGTTGACCCGACTGACCCCTTCCTCCCTCTGCAGACGGACGCCGCGGGCATGGACTATTCCTACGACGAGGACCTGGACGAGCTGTGCCCCGTGTGTGGGGACAAGGTGTCGGGCTACCACTACGGGCTGCTCACATGCGAGAGCTGCAAGGTGAGCGGACCGCCGGCCGGCAACGGTCGCGCAGGGCGGGCTGGCGCGCGCAGCGGGACGCGGGGCAGAGCCCTGCGGGGAGTTAGAGACGGGGCGGCCCCTCCCCCGCTGACTCTCCTCTCCCTAGGGCTTCTTCAAGCGTACGGTGCAGAACAACAAGCACTACACGTGCACCGAGAGCCAGAGCTGCAAGATCGACAAGACGCAGCGCAAGCGCTGTCCCTTCTGCCGCTTCCAGAAGTGCCTGACCGTGGGGATGCGCCTGGAAGGTGCGCGCGCCGCTCGGCAGGCCTCCGACCCCTGACCTCCGACGGAGCGGGTGTCGGGGTGGGATGAAACAAGGGGAGAGGGAAGGGCGCCGCTTTCTGGGGCCGGGGGTTGGCCTCCCACGTGAGAGAGTAGAGCGGATCTCTGCGGGACAGGGGTGAAAACTGGCTTCGGTCTGGTCCGGGTGAGGGATGTATGCAGGACCAGCCTGGGTTGAGCTGAGAAGCATCTGAGAGTGAATCCCAGGGAGATGAGCGGGGTGGGCTGCACTGGGCAGAGCCCTGCACAGCTCTTCCCTCTGCGAAAAGTTCTGCAACGCCCCACTGATACCCTGCATCAGCAGGCTTTACTGGAGTTCATGTCCCATTGCCACCACTTACCAGCTGGGTGACATTAGGTAAGTTCCTTAACCTCCTAAGCTGCAGAGTCCCCATCTGAAAAATGGGCTTCATAGCAGTTCCTTCCTCATTGAGCTAGTGAGAGAATTGTACGAAGCTCCTAACATCGTGCCTGGTACACAGTAAATGCTCAACAGGTTAGCTTTATTATTATCATCATTCTTTACGCTATTATTTGTCCACCATCACTGCCTAGCCCTCACTCATCCGGACTACCCATCTGCTCCATCTGTTCATCCCTCCAGAGTTCCATTCACTCAGTTCCATTCACTCAGTTCCCTCAGTTCCATTTACTCAGCAGGCAAGAATTCCCACCATGTTTTTAGCCAGACTCTGAGAGGGCTGAGGAGTGGGGAACAATTGCCCCCAGAGGACCGAGGCCCATCCTTGCCTCCCCACCCTCAACTCCTAGCTCTCAGTCCAGAGGGAGGAAAGACTCAAGCTCTTTGAGGGTGGACAGTCATAGGCTTCCACCCTGCTGGCCCCAGCTGGGCTGTGTGCCGAGCAGGCAGCCGTTGGCTAAAGTTTTTAAACAATGTAGAAGAACTGCAGACCACAAGTCCTGCCACCTAGAGGAAGGACTCCTGGATGGGAGGTCTCCTGTCCTGTCCCCAGAGCCCAAGTCCCCAGATCCAGGTCCCAAGGGGCCAGGAGAGCTGGTTGTTGTGAGCAGCATAAGCGTCTGGCGGGGCCTGAGGTTTCTGAGGAGGGCGGCCCACCCCTGTGGCAGGAAGGTTGGCTGGGCAGGCCCCCAAGACACATCCCTTGCTGAGTGCCGCCTTCTCCCTCCTACTGTCCCTTCTCCTGGAGCCCAGGGTAAGGTACTGTCTGAATAGAGGCTGGCGCCACACTATCGCTGCAGAGCTGCAACATTTGGGTCTGGTTGGTGACATATTCTTGGCCAGGCAGAGGGACATCTGGTCAGCAAGGGAGGTTCCTTCCCCCAGCACAGAGCCTGGGCTAGCTCGAAACTCAGCTTCAAATTTGAAGGCAAATTTGAGTCATTTTGCAACACAGTTTTGACAGTCAGCCAGCCAGTCAGTAAGCAGCTGGATCCTGGGACCCAGGTGTGAACAAGGCAGTTCAGGGCCCACTTCCTACCACCATCTCTTCTGCCGTGCCCTGTGCCCAACCTGGACCTATTGCCGAGCCCCCAGGAGCTCTCAGCCTGGGTCACGTGGCACAATACCATTCAGCAGGATGAGAGTAGGCAAGAGGCAGGACATCTCGAGCAAGGACCGTGAATTCTGCCCAGGTGCATCCAAGAGTACTTCGTGGAGGTGGTGACCTGAGGGCTGGGTGTTCAGCAGGCAGAAGAGAAGGAAAGGGTTTGAAGCTGAGAGACTATCAAAGGCAGGGTGGAAGAAGAGGTGCCAAAGAGAGGAGCAGAGAGATGAGTAAAGGCGAGTGGAAAGAACACAGGGTCTCATGAAGGGCACCTAGGAAGGTTGACAAGGCCTTGAGCGCCAGGCTAAGGAGACTGACTTCACCTGCACTCAGAGGGAGCCACGAAAAGGTATCGAGCTAGGGAGTAACGCAGTCAGATCTGTTCAGGAAAGACCCGTGAGTGGGGCAGTGAAGAGCGTGGCTTGGAGGTTGTGAGCCTGACCCTTGCTTCTCCCTGTAGCTGTGCGTGCTGACCGTATGCGGGGCGGCCGGAACAAGTTTGGGCCCATGTACAAGCGGGACCGGGCCCTGAAGCAGCAGAAGAAGGCACAGATTCGAGCCAATGGCTTCAAGCTAGAGACAGGCCCCCCCGTGGGGGTGCCCCCACCGCCCCCTCCCCCGCCGGACTACATGCTGCCCCCTGGCCTGCATGCGCCAGAGCCCAAGGGCCTGGCCTCTGGTCCACCTTCTGGGCCACTGGGCGACTTTGGGGCCCCAGCACTGCCCATGGCCGTGCCTGGCGCCCACGGGCCCCTGGCCGGCTACCTCTATCCTGCTTTCCCTGGCCGGGCCATCAAGTCCGAGTACCCAGAGCCCTACGCTAGCCCACCGCAGCCTGGGCCACCTTATGGCTACCCAGAGCCCTTCTCTGGAGGGCCTGGCGTTCCTGAGCTCATCCTGCAGCTGCTGCAGCTGGAGCCAGACGAGGACCAGGTGCGGGCGCGCATCGTGGGCTGCCTGCAGGAACCGGCCAAAGGCCGCCCGGACCAGCCTGCCGCCTTCAGCCTGCTGTGCAGGATGGCTGACCAGACCTTCATCTCCATCGTGGACTGGGCGCGCAGGTGTATGGTCTTCAAGGAGCTGGAGGTGAGTACCTCCTCCCACCTGGCTGGCAGCGTATCTGGGGTGCCCTCTTGGCTGCCCAAGCCTCCGTCTCAGTCACTCCTTGGATAGGGCCGCCCTGCCCAGTGGCTTCAGGCAGTGTCTGGGGACAGGGAGGCACTGAGTAGTGTTTCTGATCTATCACAGCCTTCCTTGCCTTCCCCCGACTCCTCACTCACCCCTTCTCTCTCTCTCCTTCTCTGTTTCTTGGGTCTCTATCTCTCATGGCCTCTGCTTCTTTTATCCCTGTCTCTGTTTCTTTCTGTTGTCTCACCGCCTCTCTCCCTAAGGTGTGCTGTCTCTCTGCTTTTCTGTGTTTCTCCAACCCTTTCAGTCTCTGTTTCTCTCCTAGTCTGGGTCTGTATAGGTGCTTATCTCTCTCTCTTCCTCTGAGACCCTGGGCTCCCAAAGGACTAGCTGAGCCCTTGGGAGACAGTCTCCAGGTGCCCCAGCCCAATGTCAGGAAGAGGGTCCAATCCATCTCATCCTCCCATTTGGAGAAGCCACCAATCCTCGCCAGCCCCAAGCGTCATAGACAGGAGTCTTAGTATCTCAGAGTTTGGGATGATTATGGGTCTTCTCCTTCCCAGCCAAGGCGAAGGATCTTACTGTCCCTGCCTCTTTTGTGCGTGGTGATTGGGCCCATGTGTAAGTGTGTGTGTCTGTGTGTGCGGGACAGGGAGCTAGGTGGGAGGGGAGGTAGGGAATGGCCTGGCCGGCCACTGATCTTCCAGACGAGGATGACCCTCTACTGCAAGGGCTTCCATCCTCCTGGGTTGAGGTACCCGTGGCTAAAGTAAGCAGCAAAGCATCAGGAGAAACTGAGGCCAGACAGGAAAGAACTTCCCAGTCATCCTGCCTAGTGGTTTGAAGGGCCCAAGGCCTGGCAGCTGCCCCTCTAGTGCCCCAGCTCCCTATGACCAGGGTGTTCTGCTAACCTCAGAGGCCCCCACAAGCCCTGCCAAGGCCCATCCTCTCTGGCCTGGGCACAGGTCCTCTTTAGTTCAGCCCGATCGGTGTTTGCCTTTCCCAGGCTGGCCCCCCTGGCTGTTCCTGGGCTGGAAGTAAACAGCAGGACCTGTTGCCCTCTCTGCTGGGGCCACTGCAGCCTTGAGCAGCATTGTCAGTGCTGACGCCACTTGGGCCTGGGCTTCCTCCAGGGGCAGGTGGCCGGATGGGCCAGGGGCACTGCCTGCTGGGCTGGGCATTCGGGGGGAATAAGGTGGGGGTGAGCCCTGTGAGCCGTTGCGGCCTCGTGGGCTGGGGGCCTGGGTTACTCTGGGAGTCAAGGATTGGTGGTGATGGTTCCTGCTTCTACCATGGAGGGCCTGCCTTGGCTGAGGCCTGGGGATAAAAAGGTGTCGTGGGGTGGGTTTTCTCACCCCTGTCCCCTCTGTGGGCCAACTTCACGGGTAGGACGAGAGGCAGGGCCTTGAACAATCCCAGGAGGATTGTCCCACTCGTGGCTGGAGGCCCTGGTAGGGGATGAGGACCCTTGGGTTGGTTGCCAGCTCTCCCTCCAGACTTCCCAGGAGCCCCCTGTGCAGAGGGAGGAGGAGCAGAGCGTTCGCAGCCTCCAGAGTCCTGGATCCAGGGGCGGGGCGCTTCCTCTGGCTGCTTTCCTAGTCTCTCGGGGTTTTTCACGCAGGATGGGAAGGGCTTTTGTCCCAGCTTTGCTGAGTGTTTTTTCCTGCTTCTGGCTTCTCTGTGGTCCAAACCTTCCTGCTTCCCCTTCCCAGAGTCTCTGAGTTGAGTCCAGGAATATGAGCCGTGGCCACTACCCTCTGTAAAGGAGCCTTGCAGATAAGTACCAGCCCAGTTTTCAGAGGGCCTCTCATCAGCCACATGGAACTTTTTCCCCGCTGGTCCACTGAGTCCTGCACTGGTGTCTGTTTGCAAAGCCAGAGGTGGGGAGACAGAAAAGTGGGAGGATTGCTGAATGACCCTGTTCTCCCTTTTGGCTGACCGTTCATCACCCCCTCACCTCTGGACGGGATATAAATCTCATCTCAGCAGACAACAAACGGGGCTCCCTAGCTCTGAGAGTGGGGCAGCCCTTGGGCTGGGCACTGGGGACACTGAAATGAATTGAACCCAGGAAGCTGCCAGGCTAGAGGAGGAGGCAGGCATGCACCTAGATAATGCTAACGCAGGGTGCCCAGGGCTCTGAGAGCCGTGGAAAGGGTCTGCCGGAGCCCAGCAGGAGAGCAGGTGGCCCTATCTAAGGAAGTTAGGGGAGGTTTCTTTGATCTGTGCCTTTCCAGGAAGAAGCCTGAGAAGCTTAAGGCATTCCAGGAAGTGGGAACAGCATAGGCTAAGGCTCAGAGTGTGGAAAGGCATCATGTGTCCGGGAGTTCCAGGCAGTCCTACGAGGCAGGGCTGGAGAGGTTGGCAGGTTCAGAAGCAGAGCTTGGACCAGGGGTGGGTCCTTTGGCAGTGGATGATGGACAGCCTATCAGGGCTGGCTGAGGCCCCACATCCTCTTCCCAGAGGCCCACTCAGCCCTCTGATGCTGATGTCTTGATGCCCAGGGGAAGGCCTAGGGTCTTTGCTGAGCTGTCAGGGATGCTGGGACCCCAGATGTTGGGGCTCTGGATACCCTCTGGGAGTTCTCCTCCTCCATCCTGTTTCCCAAGTTGGATGTCCCTTGGCCTCTAGTTTTCCATCTCACACATCATGGCGTATTAGATCTGACAGTGGCACAGGAGTTAATAGCGAAGACCAGGATCAGAGAGGCCTGTGTTCAAGTTCCATCTCTGCCACTTACCAGGTGTGTGACTTTGGGCAAGCCATTTTACTCCTCTGGGCCTCAGTTTCCTCATCGATAAAACGGGGGTAGTTGACATAATATCCTCCTCATAGGGCATTGTAAGGATTTAGCGAGCCAGGGACAGGTACAGAATGTAGCCTGGGGTGTGGCACCCAGGAAGCGCTCAGTAAAGGGGAGCAGCAGCTCCCTTCCTTGCTGTCTTCTCTGCTGCTAAACGATTTAAGCTATATTTGCAGGTATATATGGGCCTGGCTGGGAAGAGTGAAAAAAAGATACATGTGTCCATGCTCCTCTGAGCACCCAGAGTTCTGGAAGAAGATGGGGCCCACTTTGCCTGGGCTTATAAAGCAACTTGGTACCTGCCAGGTAGTGGAGATTGGCCTGTTCCTGCTGCTCAGTGCGGGGCAGTGTGTGGGCCTGGGCAGTCAGCCTGTCTGGACCGTTCCTGTGAAGGACAGGTTGAGAGGACGCAAGATAGGAATTAAGGAGTAGGAGGCAAGGGCCAGGAGTGCCTAATGACCCATCTTGACATCAGTTCACCCTTGACGTCCAGCTCGGAGGCCCTCGATTGGCAACAGATTTAACTGCTCAGATATATGGTTTCATTTAAGCGGCAGTAACTCTGTCAGTCCTAGGCTGAAAAACGACGGGCCCGCTGACGACTCGGCCGGGGGGAATGCTGTGGCCGGCCCGTGGCATGTCAGCCACTGGAGAATTACAGAGCCCGCTGGCCTTCGGCCGCCAGACTGATCAGACCCCAGGGGGCTCCAGAGGGGGGCCTGCTGGGAGGGAGGTCAGCTCTGCACCCATAAATACCCTGTCTCTGAGGCAGGCTGCAAAGTGTCAAGGCTCCGGGAAGATTTGTGGCAGACAGCAGGAGGGGTGGGTGGCTGGTGGGCCAGGCAGAAGGGCCAGGCGACAAGGGACCCCCGGGCCTGGACTGCAAACGTCCTTGTTCTCAGGGCGGTAGGGAGGTCTGGGGGCAGAGGAGGAACCTTTTGCTTAGGGAGAAACTTAGGGAAGGTGAAAACTAACCCTCTTTGGTTAAGTGTGCCTCTTAGCCACCTGCTTTCCCATGGAGAGGAGCTGGCGGCTACGGCCCTCTGGTTTCCTTTTAAATAAAAAGAGAAGTGTGTGTGTGTGTGTGTGTGTGTGTGTGTGTGTGTGTGTGTATACACATGTGCTCATCTGTTTGGGGAGTATTTTGGAGTTTGGTGTCTTTATGTGTCCATCTGTCCATCTAAGGGAAAAGCGAACAAAAAGTCTGGCAGGAAAGATTGCTTTTCTGGGGGTGAGTGGGCACTCAGGCCGGGACATCGTCCCCAAGACAGCCAACCATGGGCCACAGAACCCTTCACAACTGACATCACCATGTCCACACGTTTTCTGTAACCGAAAGAGGGAGGATTTATTTTTCCCACTTCTCAGAACAGGAAATTAGGGCAGAGAAGGCTGTGTGACTGGGCTGGAAATCAAACAAAGGGCACTGGGCACCAAACCTCAGCCACCATATTGCAGCTCTCTGCCCCTATCAGCCCCGCTAGGCAGGGCTGCCCCCACTTCTGGTGCCTGAGGTCTGGGTACAGAGTCTGCTCCCAGGGCTTGGCCAACCGGGTCACTGTGACCCCTTCTGTGTTCTCCCCGAGGTTCAGCTTGCTTATCTCCTAACCCCCCCGTTATCATTTCTCTTCCACCTCCCCGGCCCCTGTTCCTTCAATCTGGGCACAAGTGCATCTGTTCCCGAGGGCGCCTATGGGTGGGGAGCAGCGCCGAGCCCTGCGTGTCCCCTCCCTCCCACTTTGCCTTCATCTGGGTCAACAAAGGTGGGCCATTTAACTCCCCAGGCAGGTCCCTCCTACTTGGGTCTCAGGCAATTCCCGACGTTCCCACCGCCCCCGCCCCCCAAGACCGGCCCAGTTGGGAGCATTTGGGCTGAGCCCAGCTCCCTGTGTGTGACCTGAGGCGAGCCTCTGTTTCCTTATCTGGAATATGGGCAGAGTGTTCACAGGGCATGGGTGTGGAGTCGTGCAGGAAACGGGGCCTGGTCATAGGTGCTCCCGGAGCTGAGCCTTCCTCCTGGGAAACTGTGGTGCGGTAGTGTCCTGTAGCTCCCTGGGGTCTGGCCACTTCCAGGGGAGAGATAAGGTGAGATAAGGAGCAATGTCTTTGTGAACGCCCCCCTGCCCGGTTCTCAGTGTCTCCTAGCCCCTCCAGTACAGGCTAGCTGTGGCCGAGCCTGGGGTCGCCCTGGCTGGGTTGCTGTTCTGACTGTAACGGGGCTCTAGGAAGAACTTTCTGCCGGAGAGGAAGGAGAGGTGTGGGTCCTTGATGCAGAGATGAGGTGAGGAAGGGAGGATGGGAGGTTGGGGACCCAGAGCAGGATAGAGACTGACCCCTCTCCTGTCCTCAATATGTGGGCTGGGGAAGTGGTAAGTGGGAGAGGCCTGGAGGAAGCTTGACTGTGTCCACCTACTCGCTTTGCTGTTTGTCCATTTTTTTCTCTCCCTCTGTCTGCCTGAGGACAGGTCCCAGGGCTGTCCCCAGGAGAGGAAGGGAGCAGAGGGCAGGGGAGGGCTTCTACGTCTCAGAAGAGAGCTATTTGTTAGGCTTGGGACAATTCCGCTCAGACCAGGGGCTACTTGGACCCCTCCGACCTCTGGGTTGGGGGTGTTTCCTCTGTGCTTTCTGTACATGTCTTGGGGATCACATATTTGTTCACCAACTGCTCGTTGATCCCACCTAGGGGAGGGACCAGTCCTGCCTCTCCAGACCCCACAGTATTGAGGAAGACAGAGGCATGAATAAGTGCTATGAGATGTTGCAGGTTCCATGTCCAGAGGATGGGGAGAGCACTAAGGAAGGAGGAAGGATTGGCGAGGGTTTCAGGGGGGAGGTAAAGAGTGTGCCGTGAACTCCTGGGTGGCAAGAGTCGGTCTTATTCCACATAGTGGCTAAGTGCATGCATCTGGAGTTAGACAGAGCTGTGTGACCCTGGGCAAGTTACTTGACATCTCTGGGCTCAGTATCTTCTCTCCATAGATGGGGATAACCACTATACCAACCTCCTAGGGTTGTGGAGCTGCAGTGCAATGACTGTTAGTTATCGTGGTTTGCATTTACCCCAGGGTAGGACCAGGAAGGTGCCCAGGTCACTGTGACCGGGAGGTATCTGCTGGGTAGATGGTGGCTGGCTGATGAGCTGCAGAGGCTGAGAGGGACCGGAGTCTGTACTGTGTCTTTCTAGGATGACCTACAGTGTCAGGAAGGATTAGTATTTGTCACTGTGGGGGAGCTGTGACCTGAGGATGCCAGCCACGGCCCTGGCCTGGCACTGCTTCTCTGTGATCCCACGAAGGTCCCTTTCCCTCCCTGGGCGGCAGATGCTTCATCTGAAAAATAAGGGTTTAGGCCAGGCATCCCTCAGGGCCCTCCTGGCTCTGGCATCCCACGGTTCTGAGTCCCACGCACCACTGGTGTGTCCACCCTTGCCATGCTGGACTGTATCAGTCCTCAGAGTGGAAGGACACCCGCACAGAGTAGTCCCCGCCCAAGCACTGAGTGCCCCGACTGCAGCCTAGGTGTTCAGAATCTACTTGCTGTCACTGTGCTGTTGCTGCTCCAGACATCAGACCACGGCCACCCACCTGCTCACTCCCTGGGCTGCACTGTGGGCCCCCTTTTCTTGCCCTGAGCCTGAGAGCCCTGCATGAGACTCAGGGAAAGCCCTGTTTCCTCTTCATGGCTTGTGTATTGAGTGATTAAAGCTGCTAGAGATGTGACCACAGGACAAATGGGTACATAGAATTAATAATTCTCTTCCCCCGCATTTGAAGGAGTCCTTCACAGGCACTTCCGTGGACATTATGCACTAACACTTATTGAGTGGCTAGGCCACCTTTTAATACTTTGCCCACTTTACAGATGAGAAAACCGAGGCCTAGAAAGGTTACAGAACTTGCTTAAGGTCATACAGCTTGTAAAAGGCACAGCTGGGGCCTGAAGCCAGGCCCGTCCGAGTCCTGAGCACCTCCGCTGGACCCTTTTATTATTTTGTTAGACCCCTTTGATGAACTAGACAGATAGGCAAACAGGGCACAGAGAGGTGAAGCAGCTTGCCCAGGTCACACACCCAGCTGAGCGCTGAGCCTCTGAGCTGAGAGTGGGAGGAGGAGGGGTGAGAGGAAGGTCCCAGGCTAGACCCTGCTGGACCCTCGTGTGCCTTTTCCTTGCAGGTGGCCGACCAGATGACACTGCTGCAGAACTGCTGGAGCGAGCTACTGGTTTTTGACCATATCTACCGCCAGATCCAACATGGCAAGGAGGGCAGCATCCTGCTGGTCACTGGGCAGGAGGTGACCAGACCCTACTGTGTCCTGCCCTGCCCCCACTGTGCACTTCCAGAATTCTGAGCCCAGCAGAGAGGTCCCAGGCCTCTCCAGGGCTGGCCCTGGGCACCCTGAATATCAGCCCCTTTCCCTAAGTTCATGCGAGGGGGCAGAAGCTCTAATCAGGGACTCGGGGAGAGCGTGCATGGGAAGCGCCAATCGGAGGCTGGGGATGTGTGTGCCCCTGAGGGCTGGGAGCCTGGGCCCTGGGGGTCAGGGCTGGGAGGGTTCCTGGGGCCTGAGTAGATGCTGCCTCCACCTGGCTCAGCTCCTGGTAAGGGGGAGCTCTTGGAGTGGCACTGGGTCTTGAGAGAATGACTAGCGGGTGGTCAGGTAGTGAAAGGTGGCGGGGCACAGTCCCCACCTCCATCACAAGCAGAGCAGAAAGCCTGGGTAAAGGCTCAGAGAGGGACGTTTAGGACTTCTGGGACACCAGGAGCCACTGGTAGCTGAACTGTGGATTTGGGGGGGCGGGGGCCCAGTGTGGGGTGAGACAAGATAAGAGATAAAGCTGGAGAGATTGCTAGGGGCTGGGTTGGGCAAGACCTTTCAGGCCCTAAGTCCCGAATGAGTGAGTGAGTGAGTGAATACATAAATGAATGGGCAGCAGGGTCTGGGCCCCAAAGAGCTCAGAGTCAGAATTTGGGCTCCCCGCTAGAGCAGGAAATTAGAGGCACTAGGATCATTACTCACGGGAGCAGGGAGTAACAGGAGGGTTTCCAGTGGGGAAGGGCGTGGTCAGGTTTGAGGAAGCACCTGAGGGGCAGGATGGCAGGTGAGGAGGAAGTGAGGCAACCACCCACCATTCAGGATGCTGGGCTCCTGGGAGCGCTGTTCAAGGAGGAGGACCCCCAGCTGGTGAGAGCAGGTGCAGGGGAAATGGAGGCAAGGAGGAGGGAGGTGAAGCCCAAATCTAGCCTCGTGGGGGAGGACCATCACTCCCAGGGTGGACATAGAAGGAGGCGTGGGCTTCACAGGTGCTCAGGTGGGGGCGGGAGACTGAGGCCCTGCCCTCCAGCCCGTACCTCCATCCCAGGCCCTCTGTCCTTCTGTCCTTATCCTCAAGTCTCACCTTGGGTGTCTCAGGCGGTCCAGGGCCAGGGGAATGCTGGTCCCAAGGGTGTGACATTGAGGCCACCTGCAAATGCAAATAAAGGTATAAGTGTGTGTGTGCTGGCCCATGCCAACATGCAAGTCCAAGTCTCCGAGGCCGTGGGAATGTGTGTGTGTGCGTGTGTGTGTGCGCGTGTGCACGCGCCTGTATTTTATTGTGGAAATACCGCCACACACATAAACGTGTGGGTGTCGCGATCTGCCTGCCACCATGTCAATGGAAACACATACATGGGCATGTGTCTGTCTGTGTTGTCCTCTGATGTGACCATACAAGGTGTGTGTGTGTGTGTGTGTGTGTGTGTGTTTTCACATCATGAAGTGGCTGGACAACCCTGTAAGCATGTCCATGCATGTGTGTGAATGTGAGCTGAGATGGGCCACATGCCCAGCCCAAGAATCCATGTATGGGTGTGTGGAGCCCCAGACAGTCTTGTGCTTGCATGCATGTGTATTTAGGCTGACCTGCCCCACTCCTGCCCCCACCCCCAGCATGACATGGTATTTGCTGCAGACGCCACACAAAACACAAAAGCAGCTTGTACCACTGAGCCTGGCAGCAGCTCTTTGTGTGTGAAGGACCCCCCAGCTCTCCTTCTGCACCCACCTGCCTGGTGTCGGCTCTGCTGCCACAGGGGCCCTCAGCTCGGGATGGACAGTGTGAAGAGGGCTGGGAAGCCTGCGGCCCTGGGTGTCAGGGCTGGGAGGGTTCCTGGGGCCTGAGGAGATGCTGTCCTCACCTGTCAGCTTTATGGCTGGGCACACGAACCCATAGCCTCCGATTGGCACTTCCCATACATGCCCTCCCTAGCCCCTGATCAGAGCCCCTGCCCCATGCCCCGCCGCCCTGACCCCTGTGGTCTGCCTGCCCAGGTGGAGCTGAGCACGGTGGCTGCCCAGGCCGGCTCCCTGCTGCACGGCCTGGTGCTGCGGGCACAGGAGCTGGTGCTACAGCTTCACGCGCTGCAGCTGGACCGCCAGGAGTTCGTCTGCCTCAAGTTCCTCATCCTTTTCAGCCTCGGTGAGTGGGCTGAGCGAGGCCTGGCCCAGCTGGGGGGTGCCAAGGCGGTGGGTAGATGGCTGGGGTGGCATTGAGACCCCAAGATGGGGCTATGTGCTGGGGCCTTGGTGGGGCAAGAACCCCTCTCTTAGTGAACAGAGGTGGGAGGGGACCTGGTGCTTCAAATGGGGCTCGCTTCCTCTCTGGGCCTGAGTTTCTCTGTTTGGAAGTCCAGAGGGCCAAGATAATGTCACAGACTTTCCTGTTATGGGACGAGGACCCCCTTCCTAGAATTTGGTGAATTGCCCACTGAAAGCCTGAGAAAAGTGCCCATGCCACCTCCAGAGCATGCCCAGGTGGTTTCTGGGGGCTTCTGTCCCTTGGCTTCCCTCTTGGGGTCCCTACTTTTCCCAGCGTCCTGCTACACAAAGGGTCCAAATTCTGAGTCTGAGCCCTTTGGGGCCTAGGCCCCTTTATCCATTCAGTAATTCATTCATTCACTCTACAGACGTTTGCTCTGCCTTGCACTGGGGGTACAGAGTGAACCAAAAGACCCAAATCTCTGTCTTCAGGGAGCTGGCCTCTTGGGGAGAGAGACAATGAGCATAAAATGATTAGTGAAATATATCAATTAGTGGAATGGTTAGTAAGATGTATATCCCGGAAGACTGCAATCAGTGCTCAGGAGGAAAATGAAGAAGTGGGGGGCAGAGGGCGAGCCCAGCCCACCAGCTTGCTCCACGCCCAAAGGCTCTGGTGTCCCCCGCCCATTGCCTTCCCCGCCCACCCAGCCTGTGCCAATCCAGTTTCCACCCTCCCTCCCTCCGGGCTCTCATCAGGCTGGCCTCCTTCTGTCCTTCACCCAACAAACCATCTTCAGTGCCCAGCGATGCCACAAACGTAGAGGTTTTCCTTGCTCTCAAGTAGCTCTCAGTCTGGGAGAGGCCTCCTGCTAGCGCCGTCAGGGCTGGGACAGAGAGATGGGGAACCCAGGGTAGGGAGCACGGGCTCTGCCTGGAAGGCTTCCTGGAAGAGGGACATCTGAGCAGGTCTTAGAGGATGAGGGGGAGTTTGCTGGGGGAATAAACCTTTTAGCAGAGGTGTGGATGGGATGGAAGGTTGAAACAGAGGGGCATGAATGCCTTGTCACCAGAGGAGGGAGCAGGTAGAGACAATGTCTTTGTGGCAGATGACATCACAGCCACAATCTGGCAAGGGTTTGCCTGTCCAGGAGTGGTGGGAGGCAGAAGCAGAGGGGAGGAAGTGGATGGGGAGGGGTAATTCGTGAAGTGCTGCATATGGGAAGCCCAGTGCTCAGGCCGTAGACGGGCCTGGGTGCCTGAGTCCTGGCTGCCTGGACTCAACAGGCTGGTAGCTGGAGGGCTTATCTGCAAGGCTACAAAAGGGTGATAAGGGGCAACCTTGGTGGGGGGATGGGGGCAGACTCTTGGGCAGCCAGTTAGGAGCTATGGCCTGAGGCCTTTGGAGGAGCCTCAGGCTCCAGCTGGGGGAGGCCCCCACTTTCCTCTGCCTCCTAATCTTGTCCGAGAACTGCTGGGCTCTGAGACTGGCTCAGGCTGAAGCCATGGATGGCTGTGGTTGGGGTGTGGAGAATCCAGGAGTGAGGTGTATGTTTGTACCTTTGTGTCTGTATGTTTGTTTTCACGTATGTGCAGACTGTGAAGTTTTACGTGTGCAGCTTGTGGTTTTTTTAATGTCACATTGTGTGAAGAATCTGCATGTAATTGGGGAGTGGCTGGGGAGATGTGGAGATATGAGGGCTTTGGAGGGATGGGCGGTGCTGGGGAAGCATAGAATTGGTGTGAGATCTGGGGTGGTCTGAGTGGCTTTTGACCTGACCACCATCAAGAGGCTGCCAGGGAGGTGCTGGGGAGGGTGGGGTGGAGGATGGGCTACCAGCCACCCATCTCCTTGGCCAGAGCTCTATCTACCCTTGGGCACCCCCTGCAGAACAGGGACCGTCTCTTGGTTTCCCAGACTACCCGGGACCTGAGGTGCGCCCTGTGGCCCCCGCCCTCTTCCCACCAGAGCCCCAGGCACTGGGGACAGCCACACGCAGCACGGCTCTGGCCTCTACCAGGAGATCAATATAGAACTTGTCCTCCTATGGGATGTCCAGAGGACAGCACAGCTTAGCCCAGCCCTCTTCCCGGGGTCCAGGTGAGGGGCTGTGCTCACGAGTGCCTGGCCTCTCTTCATACTAACCTTGATCTTGTTTTCCAGAGGAGGCAGCTGGGGCCTGAGAGCCCCGTGTACCACAGTGTTGAGCTGGAACACGCTAGAGGGGTGGGGTGGAGGAAGAGAGTACGTGCGTGTGCGCCCGTGCCCAGCAAGGTGGGGCAGTGAGTAGGGATGAGGACTAGGGACGGACCACTTGGATTCTAAATCTGAACTCTCTCTTGCCCTTGAGCAAGTCACTCCCTTCTCTGAACCTCTATTGCCCCATCTGTAAAATGACCATCATAGTAATTCTTAACTTGCTATGAGGGTTTAATGAGAGAATTCCCCAAAGTGTTCAGCATGTGACCTGGCCCTCTGAACATGTGTCAGTATTGCCTTCATTATAACCATCATTATTAAGTTAGTGAGCAAATGAACAAGTTAATGAATGGAGTGAATGAATGAATGAGTCAGTCTCCATCTCTAGCGTACGCTGTGTGTTTGGCATAGTGCCTGGCCTTTGGGGGCTGAGGTGGGTGAGGGAGTGCTTAGCCCAGCAGGCCAGAAATTCTAACGAGGTTGGGGCTAGGAGAAAAGGAGAAGGCCCCTGGACCTGGGCTTGCCAGAGCTCATGGGAGAGCAATGAGAGAGGAGACCAGGTAAGCCACGGAGGCCATTGGCTGACAGGTCCCAGGTAGGAGAGGAACCTGAGCAGTCCAATGTGATCAGGGTTGGGCCAAAGAGGAGAAACCAACTACACCTAGGATATCAGGGAAGGCTTCTTGGTGGAGGGGCCTCTGAGCTATGCCTTGCAGTATGAGTAGGAGTGTTCTGGGTGAAACAGAGCAAATAGCAAGGACGTTTGTGACTGAAGGAGCAGCTTGTGCAGTGGCACAGGGGAATCCTAAAAATCTGCTGTGGAGGAGGCTGCTGACTGTGCCAGGCCTTGAATGCCAGGCATAGTACCTTGAACCTTCCCTGAAGACGGATTTTCAGCAAGGGGGTAACATGACCACATTTGCATTTTAGCAAGGTGCTTCCAACTGCAGCGTGGGAAAAGGAGACAGACAGGTGGCAACCCAGCGCCCTGCAAGAGGCTAGACCTGGGGCCAGGGGAGAGTGAGCCAATTTGGGCGAGATGAGAAGGAAGATTCGCCCAGAGTCTGGAAGGTGGGAGGGGGCTCCTCCTATGGTCGCCAGAGCTGGGTCCCCAAGGGAACTGGGGGCCAGAGAGGGATGACCCCTTGCCCCTAGACCTCCAGCTGGCATGCTGGGCGTCACCCTTAGGGCAGCACCTCCCTGGGCTGGGCAGCCTGAACCCCTGTGATGACTGTCTCC